ACCAACTTCCACCAACCAAGGGATTTCCTGCCCAAAATGGAGATACCTTGCCGCTACTGGCACCTTGGCGTTGTCCTTGGCAAATTTGTCGATGACCTTGATGCCCTGCACATCTGCCTGGGGGTTAAGCAAAAATCTGTGGCCGCCAGGAGCATTTCCGACTTTGCAAAATGGATTGTTTTTTGGGGAAAATCGAAACCTGAAATTTGAAACATGTTGAATGGAAATAGAAACCATGTCAATCAAAATTGAAACCAGAAATCGATTCTAAGGTTTTATTCTCAAAGATCTATGTAATTCTAAGGTTTCATTCTCAAAGATCTATACAAGTAGATATTGAAAAATGGATTGTTGCTGTAGAGACGTTGATATCGCTTCCAATTTTGAGACATGCATGAAGGAATGAATCGCAAACCTCCACAGTTGCATGTGTTGATTTTGCCAAAACAAATGGTTGACAATTTTTCATGCTGTAGATACCTTTCCATCAAAACTTTGTACCTGTCACGAACATCCCAAACATGTCTAATATAATGAACAGAATGTGTGATGTCACGTGAGGATGTTTACTTTCAATTTGGAGAATTCTGGTGCTGACCGTTGTTCAATGGCTCTCCCAGCGCAGAATAAACTGCAAAAAAATTACTGATTTGCAGTGATTTACTCAATCAGCTATTGTTTGTATACATAGACTTAATATAATATACCTACCATTGTCAATACTACTACTATTCCATAGTATCACCATTATTATCAGCTATTGTTACTAGTGAGTCGTAGTTAGTGCTGGTGGCGGTAGTAGTAGTAGTAGTAGTAGTAGTAGTCCTATCATTGTTACTGTCAGGATTTGATGATGTGTCTAGCCAAAAATATCCAAAACGTAAGAAATGATCCACAAGGGCCAGATTAGTTCAAATTATATATATGTATATATATATATGTATATATATATGTATATATATATATGTATATATATATATGTATGTATATATATATATATATGTATATATATATATATCATTGTTATTAGAATTAGAATGACTAGCAAAATAGTAAGAATCATCATCATCATCATAATAGTAATTACAATCATCATCATCATCATCATCAACAACAACAACAACAACGTCATCATAATGATACAGTCGACTGCTGAAGTCACCACATGTTTCAAAAGCATGTTTCGACTCCATCGTTTGTGCATCTGGTCGTAAAAAGACCAGGTCACAGCAGGGTCACAGCAATCGATCAAAACACTTGGCATTTGAAGGATAATGATGGTTAATGATGGTTAATGATGATGATGAATGGTTAATAATGGTTTAAAAAATAATGGTTAATGATGGTTATATTGGGATACCCGGCCTGGTAAACATACAAACAGCTATTGAAAATGACCATAGAAATAGTGGATTTACCCATTGAAAATGGTGGATCTTTCCATAGTTTTTTGTAAACGTTTACCAGAGGAGAGGGTAAATACCAGCAAAAGAAACACTTTGACTCATAATTAGTTTCACTAATAAGAATGTTCCATTGATTCCATAAAAAACTAGTTTCCATTGCTGCACAATTGCAAATGGGATGAATGATTGGTGTCCATGCATCATTCCATTGATACTATTGATTATTAACAAACAATTGAAAAGAAATAATTGATAATAAATTGATTATGGGATTGATAATTGGTTAGTTTTCATTGATTCCATGAGCTTCCATTGATACTGGGATAATCACTGGGGTTCCAATAGTCCCCCCATTATTTCCCTATGATGTCCCTATTATTTCCCTCTTAATGTCCTAGTAGTTCCCCATTATTTCCTTATTATGTCCCTATTATGTCCCTGAAATTTCCCTATCGTGTTCCCTATCACTTCTCTATTATTTCCATATTGTTTCACCATTATTTCCCTATAATTTCCCTATTAGTTTCCTATTATGTCCCTATTGTTTCCCTATTATGTACCCATTATGTCCTTATCATGGTTCTATTAATTTCATATTATGTCCTTTTATGTCCCTATTATTCCCTATTATTTCCCTATTATGTATGTCCCCATTAGTTCCCAATTGTTTCCCCTTTTGTGTCCGTATTATTTCCTTTTTATTTATCTATTATGTCACTATTATTTCCCTATTCTTTCTTCATTATGTCCTCATTATTTCCTCATGTTTGCCGTATTGTGTATTATTATATATTTCTATACATTTCCTGTTGGATTTTTCCTCTTGTTTCGCGATTATTTCCATATTTGGGTTGCATTTCTCGATTATTTCATTATTGTTCCCACTTTGACGTTTCCCTTGTGTAAGCTGAATATGCATTAGAAACCAATTACCTAATGAATCATTACCATTATTGACAATATTACTGCCATTCTTACCATGATTCTCAGAACCTAATGTCTAGCTATATACCAAAATATGTACATAGATTGAACATATTGCACTTATTTTACTACTATTGCTACTACATGATATCATTACCATTAGTCTCATTTGGTGAAATGTCTAGTTGTAAGTGGATATATACTTGTTAGCTATAGGGATTATATCCTACCTTCTGGGGGTTATTGTGACAGTTATAGTATACTGATTACGCTGTGGTAATTGGCCCATTTTGTTTTGTTCGATGATTTACCTCTGACTTTCCATAGCTATGTTAAATTGCATGGTAATAAGCCAAACTACACTGTTACACCCCAATTCAAATAATCCCCAAAAGATTTCGCAAATTGTGGATTTCCCATATTCACCTACTTATCGAACAACTTAGCTAAGTATGGGGCACCACCTTGTATTATTTACAATGTGGTGCCCCCTAGATAGCTAAGTTGGTTTATAACTCCAATACCTATGGTTTATGGTACCTATACTGCAGTTTTTCTGAGGTTTATAAACCAACTTAGCTATCTAGGGGGCACCACATTGTATGGCCATTAACCATTAATATCCATTAATATCCATTAGTATCCATTAATATCCATTAATATCCATTAATATCCATTAATATCCATTAACCATTAACCATTAACCATAAATATTTCCCATTAACCTATGAAATAGTTGATTTACCATGACTTACCATTTTTCAGCATCTTTCCAACGAACAAATCCAGCATCACGCCTCATCCAGTAGGCCACGGACCACCACCACGAAATTTTCAGGGCCGAACTCCTCCTCCACGGCCTGCTGGTGTTCCTCTGGCACCAAAACACGAAGGGGAAAATCTTGGGGATATATTCAGAAATCATGGGGAAAATACTGCAAATTTTGTCACAAAATGGCGAAAAAGGAGCTACTCCTCAATCATCGGTGCCCACAAATCCCAGAGCAGTGGTCAAAAGCCGGCGCCCTGTCATTCCAGGATATACGGGGCAGGGCACTAACCCCCAAAGTCATCAACCATCATTTATCAATCTGCCCATTGTTGAGGCTTTAAAAACAAATAAAAATCATCAGGTAGGAAATCCATCAATGAAACTAGTATATGTATCTACATATATATATGTATACATATATACGTATATATATATAAGACAACTAACTAAGCCTATTGACTAAGCCTGTTGCTAAGGAATCCACCAATGCACCAACCAAAGGGGGTCTCCTGGACGATGTCGGCAATGGCCATGAAGATGGACGTCAAGGTTTCTGCGTAGGGAGCTGGGCCCTGGTCCTGGCGTTTAGTAAGCGCCCAGATAGGGCCCCTTTTTTTCAAACGGATGTGGAAAATTCACCATATGGTGGTCATAGGAATCATAGGTACCCTCTGGTAAACATACAAAAAGCTATGGAAAATGGCCATTTATAGTTGATTTACCCATTAAAAATTGTGATTTTCCATAGTTATGTTAGTTTACCAGAGGGTAACTTGACTCTTGAGCCAGGAAAAATGATGAAAAATGGAGATTCTGAAGGCTCTTTGTGAGGTTCTGCAATGGATTCTCCAGCAAAACATGTGACTGATTACCAGAGGTTTTTCGCATGTTTGAATACCAGGTTCTCTTGAACCCAGTCCACAACCCAGTCAAGCATTGTCTGGTGCCAGTACTAGCTGGATCATGATCCCACTTCGGGGGAATGGGAATGATGAGGCCATAAATTGTGCATCATGCATTTCATGTGTCTCTTGAAAACGGATCCTGTATTTTCGGTTCCATCCTGGAGTTATTTTTTTTTTTTTTCGTGGATTGAAAACCAAATCCGCCATTGGCTTTGCCCCGTTCTGTCAGTCTCTGTGGTGTGGGGTGGATTCACTTTCTGGGAAAGCAATCTGGAAGTGTTTTCTCAGTGCCCGTTTCCAACGGTGTTAATCCAGACTCTTTCTGAAAGACTTCGAAACGGAGAATTCGACTGGATCCTGACTACATTTTTGTCGTTTCTGGACAGTCGTCGTAGGGGCCATAGCATATTTTTTTGCTCAAACATGTGGAGACTGCATGTAAAAAATCGACATTTTTTTTCAACAAGCTACAGTTCCGCAAAAGAGTGGTGAATCTACACACAATCAAACACAACTATCATGACACATCCGAATCCAACCATCCCTGGAGCCAAAGATTGATGAAACACCCATGCTGAGCATGCTGAGCAGCCGGCTGCTCGTTTCACCCCAGCAGAGCCCAACCTCAGCAGGATGTGGGGATGGAAGACTTCCCTCATTGAAATCTCATCGCGATATAAACAATCCATATATATATATGTATATGTCTATATATATAGAGATTCAGTACTATGTTGAAAAAAAACGACTATAATATTACAAGCATCCAAAATCCTCCAAATAATGATTGGTTTCATTCCCATTTCTTAGATTCTGATTATCTGCAATATGTATATTTGACAAATCCAGCTGCAAAAGCTAGCGGCAGCAGCTGTTTCCGGTGCAGGCGTAGCAGCATATGGCTTTAGGCCTATGTCAGATCATTGAAAAGTAAATGGCAGCGGCAAACATGGATGAAGGTGTGCGGCAATGATTCATGCCAGTCGTTCCAAGCTAAGTGCATGTTTCTTCAGTTGATTCTTCTTTATTTGTAGCTTGGGAACGATACACCGTCACCAAAATGCCAGCTATGGTGCCCAAAAGCGCATGGGGATTTGGCAAAATGCCATATTCTGTACCTTCTTCCAAAATCCTCCAGTCTGACTTCCCGTCTGGATGGTCAATTCTGGCATACGTGGTTCTCAGAGGAAATTTCTTTGGATCCACACGGGCTCCTGGAGTTCTGAAAGACTTTGCATGGCGTGCCACATTGATTAGGACACCTTCGCGTTGGTGCCATCCAGGGCTTGCACTAAGCTGAGCTAGGTATGGGTAAATAGGTGAGTTTTCACCCAAAGCACTACCTACCAGCAGACTTTCACAGCTTCCGCCAGCGAGCTTCTTCGGCTTCGTCTTCTGCTTCTGCTTGACAAACTCTTGGTTGAAGGTCACGCTCCATCGGCAGCTGCTAAGAATCTTATGTACATGCTCAGTGCTCATGTCTTTCGTCCCGCAATCCACGAAGAGGTTCTCCGTCGATGTCCACTTGAGCATGGTGTTGGGTTTGCTAAGGACTCCACGAATCCAGGCAACTGTGAACGCCAGGGATTTTTGAGATCCGTAGGAAGGTGTGTCTGAAGACCCTTTGTCGTAGACATCACGTGCATCAGTGACGACTGCCAAAGGAATGCAGTCCATGACTTCTTCAGCACGTTTGTGTTCAATTGGAAGGCCTTGCAACATCGCCCACCAGCCACGGCAGAAACATCCAACATCAAATGCTTCTTCCGTTCCCAGCAGCTCTGCTCCGTATGTAGAGCGGCATACTCGAGGAAGTCTGTGGCTTCTTGCGTCCAGCACTGAGAAGCTTCCTTCTCGTCCAGCCAAAAGGTCCTTGTCGGCCAGGAGGACGTAGTAGGCGCTTTGGCTAAACACCCTTTCCAACACAGTTCCATCAGCTCCGCCAGCTTTGGTGACATTCCCCAAACTGGCATCTGTTACCACCATGATTCCAGCTCCCTTCAAATCCATCGGCTTGAAGGTCAGGGCAAAGTCAGGGTCCTGCTTGAAGCGCTTGACAAGCAGATTTGCTTTCATCAGGGTGCTGATCTTCGGCGGTTCACCTTGCAAGGTGCTGAGCTGAAAACCCAAATCAAATCGCAGTTGAGCAACCAGCCATTGAAGTGAACCAAGGATTGCACGAAGTTGACGTTCCATCTCCGTCAAGTCTGAGTCTGGGTTGGCTCGGCGAGGCACAGGTATGTTCACGGTCTTCAGGTTGCTGTGGTACTCCTCCATGGTGATGGTGATGTGGCCGTCATCCCATTGGCGGATGCGCTTACCACAATAGGTAATGTCCTTCTCTGAGGTGCTTCCGAACCCCAATTCGCGTCCAAGCTCTTGAAGTTTGGCAACAGCACGGCGGTTTCCGCCCAGAAGCAAATCATCCACATGTGAGATGAGGACGCCATCCAACCTCGTTCCACATGGTGACCACGGAACCCAACAGGCGTAGTCCAGTGTAGTTCTTTGCCATCCCTGCTGAATCAGGGACTTGTTCAACCTCAAATACCAACGTCTCGGCGCATCACTCAAACCAAACACTCCTTTGCGTATCCTGGCAAGTCCAGGAAAAGGCAGGCGAAGTTCATCAGAGGCTCCTCGGATGTTTTCCATGAACAGCTCTCTGGTCCCATCCATGTAGGCATCTCCTTTCATGAAGGCTGACTTGATGTCGGCTGAAAGCAAAGTCCAGGCAAGGTCAGCTCCAACAGCCATTACATTGAAACATGCCGTCAAGGTCAAAAGGAAATGTTGGGCCAGTCTTGAACATGTAGGAGCATCCTTTCGAAGTCCAAATGAAAAGATGTCCTTGAAACCAGGAACAACAATGCGCGCTCGTGCACGGAGAGGCAACTTGTTCTGCTCAGTGCGAAGGCCTTCGTGTTTGTCGGTAAACACGTACCTGGGGGTGAGTATCTTCCCCTGCTGGCCTTCTCTCTTCAGTCTCTCACGCACTCGTTGAGATTCTTCAGGAGATAGTTCTTCAACCGCATCATTCTCCTTCCAAACACTCCAGGCTTGTTCGGCCGCAATCTTGAACTCAGCCTTTTCAGCATCACTCATGGAGCGCCAGTGAAATTCTTTGCGATTGGCTTGAACTGCCATCACATCATTTTCAACCAGGTCATCATGCCCACAAGGCCAAGGAAGTCCAAGCCGTTGGTGAGCATGCCATTCCGTTCTTGAGGGTAAAGGCCATCTGCCATCCCAAGAACCATGATCTTTCACACGCACTTCAGTAGGGTTGAGTCTGTCTTCACAGGCAGCATTGTAGATGTGTTGCAGTGGGTGTAGTGAAGGATCGCCCAAACTGGACAAAACATCTTCTCTCGTGGTCTGCAATGCTTCTGCCGCAGGCTCAGTAGATGAAGTTGCTGTGATCACTGGAGGTTCATCAGGTTGAGGAACAGGAGGCTCAGAGGATTCAGCCTTCAATCTTTCCAGTGATGTGTCGGCAGCTCGTTTGGTTCCTGTAGGATCTGCCAAACGTTGACGTCGTGCTTGTTCCATGACGCCTTGCAACTGGCTTGCAAAGCTTGAGGCTCGTTTTCGAAGTCCATCGCCGAGTCCACTCGAAAGTCCATCTGTAGTGGCTCGTTCAAACGTCGCCTCACTCAATCTTCTGGAAGGCACAGTCGATACTGGTGCAGAGGCAGGCATCAAGGCACCAGCAAGTTCTTGAGGCGCTACCGGAGGCAAATCATCGCCAACCGGCATTGCTTGTTCTGGAACTGCAGCTGCTGAAGATGAGGGCAAGAAGGCAGGAGTGCCAGGCATTGGCATCACAGCAGCTGGTTGTTGAACAGCAGTTCCATCGCCACCATCGGCCAAAGGAAGTCCACGGGCCGACAAGTCCAAGGTGGCAGCCTCAACAGCTTCTTCTATGGCTTCACGCCAAGAATCTGCAGCTATCTGTTCCATCGTGCTGGCTGCACGAATGTGCTCCAGGGCGCATTTGGTCAATTGCCCCTTGTAGCTCAAGTATCCAGAGCTTCTGCCTTCAATGGCCAAAAGAAGTGCAGGGCCGTGCCAACGTTTCAGAGTGAGCTTCTTCTTGGACGGCGCTGTCTTGTTGTTGTACTTCAAAGGCCTGTAGAAGTAGCAGATTGTGCCAGGCTCTGGAAGCTGCTCAATGGTTGGGTTCGGGATCGTGCTAGTTCTGCCTTCCGCAAACTTCGGCTGAAGTGAAGGCGGGTCATTCCTATTTTGGCAACTTCTCGCATGGCCAACTGTCTAGCCAGCGAAGGCTTGGAGTCAATGAGTCCATGTTCTGCAAGCCTTGTCTGTATGCCACCCAGCACGTCTCCAACCATTCGAGGCTGACGTCCAATGGCTGCCTGAAAAGGAGAGGCACCCAATTCATTGATGTCGCCATTGTAAGCTGATGTCGCCTCGGCAAGAGCTACCTGCATGTCCTCAAGTCCAAGGACGCTTTGAGAAGTAACGATGGCTGCTAAAAGTGCTTTTAACACTCCACCGCTTCTTTCTGCAATTCCATTTTGCCAGGGCGCCTGAACGGCGATGTGGTGCAAAAGAATGGATTGGCTTCCAGCATATTCCTCCATTTCCCAAGACACAAATTCTCTGCCTTGGTCCACGACCATCACTCTCGGAGGGCCAAATGTTGCAATCCATCTGGTAGAAAGGAAGCGCACCACAGACTTGGTTGATTTGTCTGGCAAAATCTCAGCCATTTGGAATCGTGTAGCGGCATCAGTTGCATGGGCCACTACGTACTTCTTCTCGCTGGTGTCAAAAACTTCCAGCAAGTCCACATGGATTTGGTCACCCATGTCGCGAGGCACAGGAAGAGAAGCAGGACGGCGGGCACGAGGTGGTTGTCGCTCTTGGCAAACTGAGCATTGAAGTTGTTTCGCCGCCTGAATTGCTTCTGCAGGTGCACCCGCAATGGCTAGGGCTCGGGCTAACCTTTTGCCCGATCTGTGGCCAGTGTTCTGGTGAAGTCGAAGGATTGTTGCGCGCATGCCAGAAGAAACAGGAATTGCAGTTCCCTTTGAATCCACTTCGTCCTCCACGTCACTGCCATCATCTTGAGGCATCACCAATCCACCGCCTTCAAAAGCCAATTCCTCCTCCTCAACATCCTCTCCAATTTCGGCAGCAAGAGCTTCACGAGGAGCAAACTCTCGTTCAAATTGCTTCTCAAGGCCCCTAACCATGGCGCGTGCCAAAGGCTTTGGGTAGATGCCCGCACGGGCTGTCACATGAGAGCCGCCCAGAACTGGCGCATGAGGGTGGTTGCGCATGCAAGTCACTCCATCCAATTCCGCAGCAACATCTGAACTTGAGCTCACCACTCTCGTTGGCTTCTTGTGCAACCAACCAGAAAGGCTTTTGAGGCCAAAACGGCATTGGTCAAAGATAGCGGCGTAGAGCTCATTCTCCTCAAGAAAACGCAACATCTCAGGTTCATTCCAAGCTTCACTGCCTCGAGGGTTTTCTAAGATGACATGACGACCTTCTCGGATTTGTAGTTCAGCGATTTCCAAGGCAAACTTCATGAGTTCACGACCAATCGCCCTTCTTTCTGCTTTTCTTTCAGGGTGAAGTCCATTCAAACGTTGAAGAGGGCTGAAACCATTGCAAGGAAATGCTAAAACCACGCAAAAAGGCTTTTCATCTCTGATCTTGTTGTAAGCTTTGAACCTGTCATTGGCATCCAAGAAGTTCCAACCAGTTTCCAAAGACATAGATTGCCCCACATTGTGTCCACGTTTTCTGGCCTCTTTCATGACGTTCTCAGCACTCGTGTAGACCTCTGTGACAAACGGCTTGACCTTCGACGAGCCTGCACAGGGCTCAGAACGGTTGACATTCTTTGTGGCCAGGTCATTCGCAGAAACCTTGACATTCGATGAGACTTTGGCATTCTTGGAAAACTGCTTATACTCAGAAACCTTGACATTCTTTGAAGTCTTGGAATTCTTTTCAACTGCATTGGCGTCAGAAACCGCAAAGGACTCAAAATCAAAGACCATGGGTTGGATGAAGGTTTCTTCCGTCAATGCATGCCAGAAATCATTCTCATAGTCAGCAACCAAAGTCTCACGGATCTGGGCTGGGCCCCAGGAGGTTTTCAAACGATCAGCTTCATGCTTCTGCCAGGCTTGTGCAATCATCTGAGCCTGGCCACTCTTGATCTTCTGGTTCAAACTGAAGGGATTGAAGTCTGGGAAGTTTATGGATCCACCACTGCTTCGATCTGCTCCTGTGTCAGATCCACCAGGTCGATGTTCCCGTATTGTGCTCTCAGGGCTTCTCCATAGCAATCCTCCAGCATCGCTTCTTGAACTTGCTTGTAATCTTCGGAAGTCATTGACTCCACTTCCGATTTCGCATCCACCTCCATGAGATCTACCACCGGCACTTGGTGCTGTTCCGGCAGCAAGGCTTTCATTGCTTCCAACTGTGCTGTCAAGCTTGCCACCTGATCTTGAAGAACTGACAGTGGGCGCACCTCTGAAGACATTGAGGAAGCGCTCGCATCTTTGGGATGGCTTTTCGGCTTGGCAGCTTTGGCTTTGGCTGTTGACTTTGCAGCGGTCGGCTGCACAGGCTTCTCTTTGAGGATGGCCACCATTGGCTTCACCTTTTCTTTTATCACCTCGATGGTGTCCTTGTCTCCAAGAGTCACTTGGAGAAGGGCTGCAAGTCTCACCAGGTCCCCTCGTAGTGAAGGAAGTCCGCCCTTTGGCCCAATCAAGGTCCGAGCCTCTGCTTCTCGCTTGTTGTCGCTGGCAAGCTGTTTGGCTGCGGCCACAGCTTCTGCTTGAACGGCCTTTCGGATCTTGTTGGCCATGCCTTTCATTGGAAGAGCTTGCAACATGCCCTCCACCGTCGGGTCCTCGCAGAACGCCAATTTGAGGCCAATGCGTCCTCTCAGGTGTATGCATTCTCCCAGATTGGCCATTGTGAACTGCTTCATGGCGACCGCCAACTTGAAGTGGCGCTTTGAGATCACCCCGGCTGAAACCTGTTTGCGCGCTTGCTCCAACCATTTGTCTGTTGATGACGTCGAGGGGTATGGAAAGGGCAGAAAGCGCAAGAAAGGCCTTTGTAAAAGCCAGAGCAGGACGCCTCTTGCGGCCCACAGCATGCGCTCGTTCAGCTTGAGGAACATTCTGCGCCATCTGCCGGTTTGCACGCCGGCCTTTGGCACTAGCATTTCTCACAGATGTCCTTGATGTCGTCCTGGTCGTAGAGGAAGGAGTCGGTTCACGGTGCTCTGAAGAAGAGCGCATTGAAGTTGCTTGAACCGAAGGACCAGAAACAGGGCTTGACATCACGGTGCAAACCAAATTTCCAACATGTACACTGTGTTCTGTGAGCAAATGGTCATGTTTTGCCACCCTCAATGAACGTTGACCCTTGAAACAATAGTTCAACCAATCTGGTGTCGACATCTGCAACTCAATGATGCCATCTTGTCCAATCCTACGCCAACGCTGAGAGCCCACACCTGGCCATGCAGCAGGAATCAAAGGCAGTAGGTAATGTCCTGCAGCCAGCTGTTTCAGTTGAATCTTCTCAGCCCCCAAACGTTCACAGCAAAGTTCACGGCGTGAAAAGGACAGATCAGCTCCAATACTTTCCAAAAAATCACGGCCAAGTAGAAGACCAAGTGATGGAACTGGCACCACCGAACACCAAAAGCAAAACAGCCTCCCTCCTATCACTGTTGGCAACCTCCATCGCATGTCCGACACCTTGGTGCCGCCATTTCCAAAACGAAAGGTTTCATGCTCAGGCTTTGAGGTCACTAGGCTCCTAATGCTTTCTGGTGCAGATTGAAGTCCATGAAGATACCCTTTCAACCAATCCGGTCCAGCACATGTTCTGTTGCATGCCGAATCCAAAGCTCCAACAAGACGTTTGTCTTCTGCCAGCTGTGCAATCAGCGCTTCTTTTGTCACGGAGTGGGCATCTTCAAGTGCAGCTACAAAGGACTGGGACAAAGGTTGAGCCGACACGGTGAGCACCTCATGGCTTTCACCTTCCGCTTCATCCACATGTTCTGTATTCAAAGTTTCAACCACTTTGACATGTCGGCTGCCGGGTTTCTTCAACGAAGACTTCCTTGCAAGGCCTTGCCCAGGTTTGCCACATTCCGGGTCTCCAGCCCAGTGTCCTGGAAGGCCGCAATCGAAACATGGGTTCTTGGCAGTCTTCTTTGGGTTGTTCTTCGAGGTACCATCTGCTGGTTTCAGGTAACCCCGATCACGTTTCACTTCCTGCAACTTCTTTCGTGCCTCCTTCATGGTGAGGAGTGCTTCAGCTGCGGTTTCAACTGATTCTTCTATCTCCTGCAAGGTCGAGGCATCGACGCCGTTGTCTGCAGCGTCATCCAACTCAGCCGCAAGAGCTTCAGCTTCACTTTTCAGCATGTCCTCCAAGTTCGGCTCAGCTTCATTCTCATCCTCCAACAGCTCTGCTTCCTCATCAGGTTCAGGGTCCTCTGCTTCAGAAACCATGGCCTGTCGGGCCGGGAAAGGCTTTCTAAAACCACTGAACCTGCTTGATCCAGAAGTCGTTGAAGTCCTGTGGGACCTCGGCACAGAGCTAGCCATCGAAGGTGCATAGGACGAAGGCTTGCTTGAAGGATTCTGTGAAGTCAAAAACCTCTGCATCAAGGAACCACCCTTGTTGTTGCTGTCTCCAAAAGACTTGCGCACCAACGGATCCTGAGAATGCAGATCTTTGAAAAGTCGAAGAACTTCACGTTCGATCGTCTCGTACTCCTCAGCGCCTGACAAGGCTGTTTCCAGGAGTTGCACTCGCAGCGGGTCAAGACCAAGCTTTGTCTTGAAAAACCATCCAACTTCACCGGAAGGCAAGGTCACTCCCTCCGTTCTGAGGTCTGCCAGAGAAACTCTAAACCTGGAGCAAAACTCAGCTATGCGTTCACCTGGTTTTCTTTTCAACTCCAAGTAAAACAAATTTCTCAGCTCTCCACGTTTGTCAAGTGTTGTTTTGCCATTGATGCCCTCTAACGCCTTCAGCAACTTTGTCAAGCCACTCAACGGGTCCTCAGGCGTAATGACAACTTCGGCACCTGTCTGTGGATCTTCACCTTTGACCTCCTTCTGGTACTCAAGCTCATCTGGATTGAACTCTTCACCTCTTTGGCGAACCACGCCTGACTGCCTCAACAACCAACGTGCAGCAAGGTTGTATTTCTTCGTTCCTTCTAAGTCCAGGCTGCTAGTCCACCATTTCATTTCTCTCTGGAAAGCTCGCCACGTCTGTGGCGATCCGTCCCAAACTGGAACGCGAGACCAGGCACCTCCAGATTGGTCCCTCTCTGCATCTCCCATGACTTGAATTGGCTCCCCTTCGGGAGATGAAACACAAAATCAGCAAAAGGTTGAATTCAGTCTTCAACCGGCCACAGACTAAGGCGCTTGCCAGCTGTAGATGGTGAAAACAAAAGGACCGCACCCTTGATCCCCAAGAACGTTGCCAGGTCACCGCGTGGATCACCGGTCAGGAACTTTAGGATCTAGAAGTAGTCCACCGTGCAAAAGTTCGGAGTAAGCGCAGCAGCAAGCAAAAGCGCAATGCCCCAAAACGTAAGGCTCCGGTGCCACTGACAAATCCAGCTGCAAAAGCTAGCGGCAGCAGCTGTTTCCGGTGCAGGCGTAGCAGCATATGGCTTTAGGCCTATGTCAGATCATTGAAAAGTAAATGGCAGCGGCAAACATGGATGAAGGTGTGCGGCAATGATTCATGCCAGTCGTTCCAAGCTAAGTGCATGTTTCTTCAATATTATATATATATGAATATGTATGTAGTGGCAGCACAACCTCCCAATAAAAAAGAAAAAACTCAACCAGCCAACGTGTCTTTTTGAAACTACTCAAGTTACTCAAATTTGCCATTGCGTTTCGCGATTGCGGCACCCATCCTTCAAGCTGCCATTTCGTGCTTGAGACTTGCCATCGGTGATCATGACATACCCATGTCGTGGATTGCACCTACTGACCTGATCGATAGCCGTGTGCAGTCGGTTGTATGGATCAATATTACTTGGTGGCTCATCCCACTTAGTAAGTGGCTTATAACCCCAATTATAAGTGGATGATTAACCCTACTTATCCCATTTATAACTGGGGTTATAACCCACTTACTAAGTGGGATGAGCCACCAAGTATCATCAGTGCCAAAATGGTGGTTCCGACAATAGACACCCCAGTCATCATCCATTTCAGTATCATGTTCACATGTTCCATGAAATCAACCATCCAGCGAGCTTGGGCTACCCCCATTTCTTCCGAACCCCCGGCCCGTCGCAACGGTCCCTGGGAGACCCTTGCTGGCGCTTGAACTCTCCGCTGGCCTTTTCAGCCAGGGAGCGTTTGATGAACCTAGGCATCGCAGCAGCAACCATTGAAACCATCGGGAAAATGTATCTCAACCATGTGAAATCGCCCAGAATCTAAAGTTTAAATCTGGTTTATATTGTTTCTTAGATAGTTTGCAACATGGCATCAAAATCTAAAATGTCGCAGCCTCGGATGCCAAGGTGATTTACATGAACCAGCGCCATTTGCAACGAGAAATGGCTACTCATTTGCATGGCAAATGAGAAAAACAAGAGTTTCAATAAATGGGGGTACCCCAATAGCTGGATGGTTTATTTCATGGAAAATCCCAATCTAAAATGAATGATTTAGGGCTGTTTCCGATGTCGATGTCCCTGTGATATATGCCAACATTGCTGTCAATACCCTGCAACGAACCTCAGGATGGTGCCCCCAAGGCAGATGTGGGGATGGGTCAAAACCCTGTACCCCTGTAGTTCACATCAAAATAGCTGGGATTTATGGATGTTCATCCCACTAAAAATGGGATTAATAGGTATTGATCCATACCCATGTTTGTTGGATGGGGCCCCTTCCTGTGGCCGTTCTGTGTCCGTGGCTCAACGTACTTCTGCACGCCCTCGCTCGCAAGACCTTCAAAAACCAACAGGGTCCAGAGGGCTGAGCATCAGAAATGGATCCCAAAAAAAATCGCCACAATGATTCGGAAGTGCTGATGTTCCACTAAAAATGCAATCAAAACTGCTGCTTCCCCTGAAAAATCGCCATTTTTCAATGGTGATTTACTTCGTTGACCCATGTTCAAAATGCTGTTCCAGTTCGCGAAGTGTAAACGTTGACCCCGAAGAATAGCCACAGATTTTGGGCGGCTTTCTATCGCATCTCCAGTTTTTGGTGATAAAAAAGGTGGGTCATCCCATCCCGCTTTCGATGGCCACCTCCATATTCTGACCATCCCGATGCTGCCAATGGCGGGAGTTGATGGATATGGTTTTTTTCTAAAACTCCCAAGAACTCCCTAGGGGTTGATGGATATTCCAATTAAATCTAGGGGGTGGATTTAATCCAGGGTTGACATTATTCTACTCTAAAACTCCCAACACTCAAAAATTCTCTTTCAGGGGATTGTCCGTTGTCCAACTGGAATCCACATTTTTTTTGGGATCCAAGTCCCCAGACCTCCAGTAGAAACTCTAATGGCTTTCAGTCTCTGAATCGATGACCATCCCGAAGAAAACTGCGAAGGTCATCCGGTTTTCTTCATTCCCATTGAAATCCATGAAAAATCCCATGAGCTCCCTACAAAAACAATGAGATCCCCATTATGTATATATATATATATATATCATTCACTTATCATACATATATATATATATAATTATATACTGTATATATAATTATATATATAATTATATATACGTATATATATATATCATGAATATCTCATTATCCACGTGAATATCCGGTCCGATCGCACCCAAGGGATGGAAGAGCTTGGCGAAGCGCGACACGCCGGCGCTATCTTTGGCGGCCATGGCAGCATCGAAATGCCTACGCCATCATGGATCAACCATGACTAAACCAACGGGTTTCATGGTGATTTTCCTGGGGGAACCCATCATGGGCATTGAAATAGAAAATACCCTCTGGTAAACATACAAAAAGCTATGGAAAATGGCCATTTCCAGTGGATTTACCATGATTTACCCATTAAAAATGGTGATGTTCAAATGGTTATGTTAGTTTACCGGAGGGTAATTGTGATGTTAATTTACTTAAAGCCATATTGCATGCTTAGAATTGCAGCGGAATGATCTGGGTAATTTTGTGGCGAAACCCAATGGTTTCTAGGGGGGATCCCAATTCTAGGGCGTATCCAAATTTCCAAGTGATGTTGATCATCCAAGAAAAAAAATACCTGATTAACTGGTGATTTGGGTTGGTGGTTTGGAATCCCAAGGTTGCCCTTTGGGAAAAGGGGGCGATTCAAAAAGGGCACCACAATTCCAAACCACCAACCCAAACCACCAACCCATAGCTGATTATTGATAGTTTTGTTCATGGAGAAACCAATGGTGAAAAGGGATACCCCCATTCTGAGAAGAAAAAAAATAGTTGGATCAATGGATTGCTTGGAAAAATGTACGCGTTGAAGCCCATGCTGCTTACTTTTCAACAGGACGGTTTCCTGCAAATTTTCCCTTCAACCAACTTCGCATCAGCAATTGAAAAATCTATATAATCCCTTTAACCTGATACCTTTCCTTGAAGTTCCATTTAACCTTCCCTTCAAGTTGAATCACCAGCTCCCTATCTTGGAGTTGAATTATACATGAATTCCTGTTGTCATGTCATCTCAGGTCTTGTCATCTATATCAATCATCTTTCGACAATTGAAATATGTCACTTGGTCGAAAATCTTGCGAGGATACCCAAGGTACAGCATTTCCGGTGAGAATCACCTACCTGGTGAATTTGCTGATAAAAAACATAGAATAACTGGTGGGTGATTTCAACCCCTCTGAAAAATATGAAAGTCAATTGGGATTATTATTCCCAATATATGGAAAAAAAAGATTCATGTTCCAAACCACCAACCAGATTATTACAATCAATATATCACATTACAAATAATAAGTTCCATTAACCCATATTAAGTCCCTACTGTTGATGGTTTAATATTCCTATAAAAACATAGACATAGAAGAATACTACCTGGTGATACCGTGATACCTCTTCGTTGCGACATGTTGCGGCCCGGTGCCATGGCGTTCCAACACGTTCCGTTCTGTGAAAGCACGGTCCAGCCTTCGCACGATGCCGCTCAGTTGGCGTTCCGCTTCTGTCCTGAGACCCAGCTTTCGCTGGCTTCGAAATGGCTTCGAGGGGGTCTACCTCCAACGCTACGGCGGAATCACTTCGATGTCTTTGGGAAAAACTGGGAAAATCCAGGAAGCAGTCGTGCCATGCCACCCATCTGCTGGTGATTACCCACTTTTCGTGGGGATGTACCAAAGCCACCGCTGGCAGAATCAGTAGGCTAACTGTCTCAAAATAGCGGAACCTAAAATCCAATAGATTCCAATGGTAATGTGAAAATCTCATTAGCTACTGGCCAGAAATCATGGTTTCCCTTATTATTTCATGGCCAGAAACTCTGGAAAAAAAAACATTTTCAGACCTTCGTCGCCTTCGTCCAAGTGATTCAGTCGCATCAAGGCCGAGGGTCATCCCACAGCAATTTACCATCAAATTTACCACCCATTTAGTGGGTAAAATCTAAAATTTACCATGGATTTAACCATGATTTACCACTCAGAATCGGAAAATCATCAAATTTACTATGGCTTTTGCTGGTGACATCTGAAATCCCCAATGAAATCCCAGATCAATCCCATTTAGAATCGGAAACTCATCAAATTTACTATGGCTTTTGCTGGTGAAATCTGAAATCCCCAATGACATCCCTGGTTTTTTTCAAGGGTTGCCCCACTGGGCGCTTCTGGCAGTGTCCGCACCGTGGCATCGTCGGTGCCAGGCCTGCACACGGAGGCTATGTATCCTGAAGCTCACATCACTTTATGGTAAATCACCATTCTTACCCTCTGGTAAACTAACATAACTATGGAAAATCACCATTTTTTATGGGTAAATCCACTATAAATGTGGTATTTTCAATAGCTACTTGGTGGCTCATCCCACTTAGTGGGATTTTTGTAGGGTTAATCCACTTATAATTGGGGTGAACTAACCCACTTACGATTCGTGGGATGAGCCACCATTCTTAGGTAAATCATCGAACTAAATGTGCCATTTCCATGGCCAAAAAATCTCAAAAATGCCATTAAGTATGGTGAAAATGTCTCGCATGTTTTACTGCCATGATGGTGCAGCAATTGAGGGTCAAGTGCATGTCTCGTAGCCCGCTTGCCCTTTCCGCTGCAGGGGGTTCTTTTCTAACCTTAGCACTTCAGCTGTTGAAAGGTGATCTGCTCCAGGAGTTCTCTTCTGTAACCACTGCCACAGAGCCCTTGCTCTGCGATTGCCCATTGCCTTGGTTTCCGCCAATCCATCACTTTCGACTTGATTTGCCATCAGTCTGTTTTGGAATTTTGCTGGGATTGTTCCTGGGTCCCATCATTGATTCGTTAGTCTTGTTGAGGCATTTGTTAGGGGGATATCTTAGGAGGCAAGTCCTGAACCTTTTCCGGCCGAGTACTTTGTATCGAGTCGTTTGATGTCCACCGCCCAATCTCGAGCTGCCCAACTCCGTCTTGAAGAGCAGCTCAGGCAGTGTTTGGATCGGATCTCAGAACTTGAACGTCGTGTGGCCGTGCTTGAAGCTGAAAAAGAAAGTTCAGCTTTTGATTTGGTCAGTGATATCGCCTCGAGTGTCTTGCCCCCTTCACAGACTGATCGTCCCACCAGTGCCCGTCCCAGTCATCATTTGGAGGAACAAATTCGTTCAGAAGTTCTCCTTCAGATCGGATCGTGGATTAGGGCCTGTCTGGAAGGTCGTAGGCGGGGTCTTTCTGGCAGAGAAAGATTGTCAGAGGGAAACTCTTGCTACTTGGTCTTCCGTGGATTTAGTGGTCAGGTGTACGATCCAGTTGGTGTCTTTGAACGATTCAGTGATTTGGTGCCCGAGGTGAAGCCTCACGGACATCCAGGAAATTCCATTTTCATTGGACTGCCGACACTGGACGACGCAAGGCTTGTAGCCGCAGCAGCAGGAGTGCAGTGGCCTCATTGAGGCAATGGCATCAGAAGAAGAAGAGGAGGCTGAGGACGTTCCCGAGATAGAACCTTTGTCTCCGAAGAGTTTTTTAGTAGTGCGAAGTCACGGCTCAGCAGATTTGAATTACTCTGTTGGTGCATTCATTCCTGGAGGGTCGTCGCCCAGTATTCCTATCATTTTGATTGCTTTCATTTCTGATCAGTTTTTGATTGCGGTGCCCTTTGAAGCTTGGCATCGCTTTCGTGCAAACCGCCTGTTTCCAGCTGACGGTCTTAGCAAGCCTTCCTTAGTTGAGGTTCCTGCTGTGAAAGAATTGGATCGTGAAGTTCTGGAAACAGACAAAAAGCTTTCTGTGTGGGTCGGATTTTTGAAGCCCAGCCTTGAGCCATGCCTCAATTTCGATCCTGCCATAGATACAACTTTTGCATGTCAATTTGTCAGCGAGGAAGGGGAAGAGGGTTTTGTTCCTTATGCCGAAAGTTTGGTTGCTTTGTCCGACGAGAAGTTTGCTTTCTTGTCGGCTATTTCAGGTGCAGAAGGGGACGGTGGAGCCCCATCAAAACGATCTGCAAAAGCAAAAGCTGCCCCAGAAGAATCAGCCATAGATCGCATCGCTCGACTCGAAGAAGGGATGGTTGCTATCCAGACCAGCCTGCAACAGATCTTGAGGCAGGATGCTCCTGCTGTCAAGAAAGCCGAGCCGGTCAAGAAATCCAAGTCTCCAAAGAAGGGCCAAAACGCCGATGGTTTGCCAGGCCTGGATCCTCAGGTGGTGGCATCAGCTCTGGCCACAGGAATAGATCGGGCGCAGTTGGAAGAGTTCAGCAAGTTGGTTGCAGCCGAACGACCAAAAATGCAAGATACTCCAGCTGTGAAAAAGGGTGCGCAGACCCGGGTGAACATTCTAGGCGAGTCGGAGGACGAGGCGGAGCCAGTGGAAGAAGCCAATGCTGCCGTTGTGGAAGACCTTTTAGACGATTCATTGGCAATAGGGGAGGCATCATCATCCAGCAGTTCTCTCACATCGAACAGGAGGCATGCTTATCTACTGAAAGTGTTGCGCCAGGCCTTGAAGGACTCCCCCGAGGAAATTTACAAAGTCATAGAGGCTCGGATGCTGTCAGATTTTGGTGCTCCAGAAAGCGCTCCAGGAGAACCAGTTCGATCAGGTACTTTCAGAGGATGGGCAGAACACCGATCCAAAATTCCGAATCTGAATCCTTCTGTTCGAGCTGTGTGGGCTGTGACCGGTGCTTTGGATTCTCTGAGAAAAGGAAAAGTTTCCGAGGCTCAAGCCAGGTTAGCCTTGTATCTTTGTCAGCTGGATCAAGTGTCAGTGGATCGAGGCCAATGGATTTTGGCGGCCGAGGGGAGTTTGGAAGACCCTCCACCATTCTCATCCTTTTCAAAGCACACTCCTCCCGATTTGCTCGAGCCTCAGCACACGAGACTTTGGCCGACAGCATGGGCAGAGAGTTTCATGTACAAGGTCAAGGAGCTGGACGAGTTCGTAGAGAGACGTTCCAAGCTAGGCAAAAGGACTCAACCCAATGTGAATGCCCCGGCAAACGAAGATCAGCCGAAGAAGGGCTCAGGAAAGAAAGGGAATCCGAAGGCAAAAGCCAAAGCCGCTGCCGAGGAGCCCAGTTCATCCCAGACATGACAGACCCTCCACATGGCTCGACCGAGTCATGTGATCAGTTGCATGCTTTTGAATTGAACATGGCCCATGATTCGCAAATCCCAAAAACAAAAACAAACAGAGAGTCTCAGCCATGCAATTCTGCTAGTGAAAACAATGATAAAAACCTCAAAAGTAAAAATAAAAGCAGCAAATCTATGCCAGCCGAGTTCGAGGTTACGAGTTGGTGGAATTCATGTTTTCGTTTGATCTTGAAAGCCGGTAGCAATATATCCCGTTTTGCTAGATCTTTCTTCCGCAAGCCAGTTATGCCCTTCGAGAAGAGGGCTACCGCCGTGATGTGGCCTATGCCGTTGCCTTATCCTGCAGCCTTAAAAGAGTCTGGAGGTTTTGCTTTGAGTTCTGATGAGATCTCGTTCCACAGAGGCGTGAACTTAGTTGTCTTGTTGTTGGACTGGCTTCATTTGAAGAGGCCTCCCACTTGTCCAGCTGAGATTGTTCTCCATGTTCCTCTGAGTCGTTTGCAATGGCGAGTTGTTAGACAAATTGAATCAACTATGCATGCATGGCGTGTTGCAGAGCCTGTCACAGCATTTAATATGGGTCGAGCGGCTGAAAAGGTAGAGAACATTGAGCGGGCCTTGGAGCGACTTGGAAATTTTGAAACAGGCATCTATGACTTGTTCGAGGAAACTCTACCTGAAAACAGTGGCTCGATTTTTGGGTCTGCAGCTCGGAGTTTCTTTGCTCCCGGACTTCAATCAGACATTGGAGGTGAAGTGGTAGGCCATGGCCAGTCTTTTGGTGGTTCAGTGGCGAAGCCCATTGTAGCAGATAGGCTGGACTTTCGAGGCCAACCCTTGTTCGATCCAAAACCCTTTCTGGATAAGCAAAGTTGTTTCATTTTCGATGATCCTTTGTCTGCAGCAAAAACGCCTGAGGAGGCATTAGAAGATCCGCCGCAAGTTCGTCTTTTTGGTGATGAAGCTGAACTCTGGAAATTGTTCAAAAAGCTGGATTCCAGTGGGCGTTTGGGCGCTATCCCAGATACTAAAGTTTTGCCGGGGTTTCAAGCTGGACTGTTTTCCGTAGGGAAAGATGAATGCAAAGATCGCCTCATTTTTGATTCTCGGCCGTTTAATATCTTAGAGACCCCACCGAACCGGTGGATTCGTTCGATGGCAGCAGGGACAAACCTCACTGAGTTCCATTTGGAGGACAACGAGATGCTGGTCGTTTCCGGCACAGACTTGCGAGAATTTTATTACACCTTTGCAGTTAGTGACCGCCGCCTGATCCGCAACAGTCTTTTGTTCTCCACCACTGTCGAAAAGATTAGAGGTTGGAATTGTTGCACTCCTGAAATCACCCAGCACAAAGGGAAAATTTTCCTAGGCCTGAGAACACTAGCTATGGGGGACACGTGTGCTGTTGAACTAGCCCAGACTGCACATGTAGGCATTTTAAGGCAGCTTGGATTGCTGAAAGAGGAGAACATCCTAGCCATGTCTTTGCCTGTTCCTCGTTCCTTGTCTTGTTTAGGAGTAGTAATTGACGACCTCATTGCCTTTGAAAAGATTCTGAGAGGCTCTTTTGATCCGGCGGCCGATTCCCATAGCAAGCGCATAGTCTCCACTGCAGTTGAACGTTTCAAAACACTTGGGCTGATTCCGCACGAAGGGAAGACGTTTTATAACCAGACTGAAGCTGATTTTTGGGGCGCCTCCTTCGATGGCGATTCAGGTTATGTTCGAGCTGCTTTGAAACGAATTATCCCAATATTGTTTGCTACAGTTGGCATTTTAAAAATTGGAATCTGCAGTGTGGGGCTTCTTCAGGTGCTTGTTGGATGCTGGACATCAGCCTTTCTTTTTCGACGGAGAATGCTCAGCATTTTCAATGTCGTCTATGAGGTTTTTCAGCGGGTGGAGTCGGATAGGGCTGTTATAAGGCTTTCTGATGCATTGAAAGAGGAATTGATGTTGTGTGTGGGCCTCAGCCCCCTTGCAGCCACATGTTTGCGCAGCAGAACATCTCAGCAAGTCTTTGCGTCGGATGCCTCAAATGTCGGTTGGGCAGTAGTCTCTGCAAAGCTACCTCCTTGGCTTGCCAAAGAAATCCATAGGCATGGACTTCGGAAGCGTGTGTGGACTCGGTTGCTGTCACCATTAAAGTCTTTACAAAAAGAGCGAGGTGTCTTGGATCAGGCCGATGAATTGCCTGGAGGTGAGCCTTTTGCCTCGCATCCCTTGTGGCTGCTTATAGCCGGAGCTTGTCAGTTTGAAACCTTGAAAAGTCGTCGCACTAAACTTGGTAGGCATATCAATATAGATGAGATGGTTGGCATGTTGGAAGCTGAGAAGTCGGCTGTAGAAGAAGGCTTCCCTGTCAGATATTTTTCCTTAGCCGATTCTCAGGTCGGACTAGGTGCTCTTCTGAAAGGTCGCTCAAGTTCAATAGCTTTGAATGCACTTCTCCAGGAAAGCTTGCCACTGCATTTGTCTACCAGCGTTGTGTCGAATTTTGGTTTTTTTGCCTTCGAAGTTAAATCCAGCAGACGATCCTACCAGAGGCGTTCCGTTGAGGAGGCCCCATTTGCCTCAACCTTCATGGCTCAGTTCTGAACGTAATCTTTCTATTGAAGAGCGTTTGACTGAGTTAGATGATTGGCTGGAGTCTTGTCAAGCGTCACCTTGGGATCTCTCGGGGTTGCCACCTTTGGAAGAACTTGACGGCGAATTTGAAGAAAGTTTTGAGTGGATGAAATCTTGCAGACAGAAGGGATTTTTGAAGAAGAAGCGTCAACCTCCTTTTTCCAAAGCATCGAAATCCGTGAGGGAGTTTTTAGGTGCTAATGAGTTCCTTTCACCAGAAGTTTCGAGTTCAAATGAGCGGAAATCTGTGTCGAGCTGCCCCAACGCAAAGCAGTTAGGAGTAAAAGCCCTGTCACCTGAAGCTATCTCGTTTCTGAGTTCGCTGCCTAGGGAACAGTTCATTTTTCCGGCCTCATGGAATGTACAGCCTGACTGGGTGCCAGATTTTGCTGGATATCTGGATCTATATTCAGGTAAGAAAGGCATAGCCTCCGCAGTCGCACGCAGTGGCAAGTCATGGTCGATAACTTTTGAACTGGAAGACAGCGAAGCGCAAGATCTTAGTTTAGGTTCCAACAGATCGGTTGTAGAGGAATTGATTCGTTTGCGAGCTGTTCACACCGTAGGGGCTGCCATTTTTTGTCGGTTTTTTTCCAGAGCAGTGCGTCCACCTGTCAGGTCGAAGCTTAAGCCGTTTGGTTTAGCCCAGATGAGTTTGAACATGAAGCAGAAAGTGGATGAAGGAAACGATCACGCACTTTGGCTTGCTGGCATTATTTGGCTTTGTCGAGAGTTTTCAATAAGATACTGGGTTGAGAATCCGGATTCTTCTTTTCTTTGGCTGTTGGATGTTTGGGTCCTACTTGGTGCTCGAAATCGAACTCAATGTTTCAGACTGGATTATTGCGTATGTGGTTGTCCATGGCGAAAACGCACACGTTTTTTAACGGATCTCCATCTTCAAGGTCAACAGGTTTTCTGCAAAGGAGGCCATAAGCATGTGAGACTTGTTGGTTGGAGCCGCCTTCACCGTATGCCATGGACTCGAGTCGCACAAGTGTATCCACGTCGTTTGGTTCATTGGGTTTCTAGTGCCATTTTGATCGATGCAGGACTCATGCCTGGTAGGAGACATTTGAACCTTGCCAACATTTGCCGATGTAATCATGGAAGGATCGGAGAAGCTTCAAACCCAGGACCTCGGCGAGCAGCCAGATCTCGCCGTCCTTTGCAAGCTTTGTTAGAAGCTGACATTGTGGAACCTGAAACGGCGCTTTTAGGTGAACGTATTTGGTGGTCTTTCCGGAACTGGGCGTGCAAATCTCTGCTTGTCGAAACATTTGACGCTGTCGCTGGTTGTCCGGAAACTCTGTGTTTGCTTATTGAGTGTTTTGGCAAATATCTTTTTGAGGAAGGTCACAGCATTTATTTGCTGCGACAGCTGATAACTTACGTGCAGAGATGGAAGCCACAGTTTCGAGGAAGTATGCGAGGTGCTTGGCAGTTAGTGAGTAGATGGGAGATTATTCAACCCTTAAGACATAGGACCCCCCTGCCTTTAGTTATTTATCGAGCCATGGTTGCGATCGCTCTATGCTGGAAGTGGTACAGATGGAGTGCTGTAACTATGTTGGCGTTTGAAGGCATCTGTAGGCCGGGAGAGCCTCTGTCTGCAAACAGGGGAGATTTATTACTGCCACGTGATTTGCTGATGGAAGAAGCAGACATCGTTTATCTTCAGATTCGACATCCAAAAGGCCGAAGGCGGGGAATAGGTGCAACTCAACATTCCAAGATCATCGATCAACGTTTAGTGAGCTTCCTGGATAAGCTGTATGGCCGCTGGGACAGAACTATTCCTTTGTTTGGTGGGTCTTTTTCTTCGTACAGAAAGCGATGGGATGCAGTTCTGACTTTCTTGAGGGTTCCAACAAAACTGGGTCTAACGCCTGCCTCTCTTCGTGCTGGAGGCGCTGTTAGAGCTTACCGAGCAAATGAAGAAATTGCTCGGCTTATGTGGCGAATGCGAATTCGCAACATTGACACACTCCAACATTATTTGCAAGAGACCGGCGCAGCCAGCATTTTTGCGGAACTGCCTTCAGACAGTCGGCACAGAGTCCAACATGCAGCTTTGATGTTTGACGTGCTCCTGGATTCGTTCAAGCCTTAACTTTCAAGCAGTGCTTCGAGCCATAAGCTGAGCAACTCGGATCAGCTTTCCTGTCGCTGCTCCAGGTTTCTGCGAAAGGATGGAAAAGCTGCTTCAGACCGATGTTGACACTGCACGGCCGTTTGTGGTCTTCAGCGATTGTAGTGCCACTTTTGTCGGTGGAGCTGGACAATTGTCCGTTGCGCAGAGATCCTTGATTGAAACTGGTGGAAGAAAAGGCGAGCTTGGGAATGGCAATCAAACATGATGATAAAGCATTGCATTTCATGTTACCCGATGTTGTACAAACACAAATACACCATATTATTGCGTATGTCCCACTATATCCGCATTATATATTATATGCCCCTTCATTTGGTTGCTTGATGTTCACTGTTTTTTTCCCATCTGGGGGTTGGTACTATACCCCAGTATGTCAACGGGCCCATTTCTATGATTCACGGGTTACATCCTCCGTTTTTAGATTCGTTACATAGATCCCACAGGACGGTGCCCCCCAGTTATGTTTGTTGGTTTATAAACCCCATGAATACTAGTTCGTTATATCTGCCATAAACCATAGTTATGGGCCATATGGGAGTTATGTGGCCCCCAACTTAGCGATTCCCAACTGGGGGCACCATTAGATGCCAAGTTTCCTTCCTTTTTTCTCAGTGGTTGAAGCTCCCAAAAACAACCCCAAGGGCCCAGTTGGACTGCCCCTCTTGGAGTGGGCGGATTTCAGGGTGTCCGCGCGGTAAGCTGTCTTGCGCCGCTCGGAAGCGAGAGACCTCGATCTCTGTAGACCAATATTGGGCTAGAGCCTTTTTGAACCATGAAAAATACACCTATCCCATTCCAACTGTCCCCAATAAATTCGGAGAAATTATGATGACCTACAAAACAAATAACCGATCAAACCATCATCTATCATCACCATGTAGTGCTCGTTGGTGCCTCTATACATCTCTATACATTGTCAGTCTCAGATGCAAACAAATAGGACGGCTGGCTAGTGAATATGCCAATTCATGGCAAGAGATCAAGGTGTACTATCTAAAGAATCTAAACTATTCATCCAACATTGACCCTACCACTATTCATAACTACAAGAACTAGCTTTCTTTCTTTCGGGGGATACATCTATTAGTTGGGGTTACCCTCCGGTAAACTTACCAAAAAGCTATGGAAAATCACCATGTTTAATGGGTAAATCCACTTTTTCGACTGGGCCATTTTCCAGTTCGCAAACTGTATGTTTACCCTCGTGTTACACCCAAACAGCTATGGAAAATCACCATATTTTTTTCGCCCAAAATTCTCCGAAACCGGGTCAGGCCGCTCCATGGGGTACCTGGGTTTCCCCGCATATCTGGCCGCCTGTTCGAAGTCCTCGGAACTGATCGCCTTCATAACCTCTGATCTGGGACTGGGGCGGTTTTCTGTCACAGCGTTTTGGTTTTGAACAGGGAAACAAACCATAAATGGAAAATCATAGTGATATGAAGTAATAATATAATATATATATATACATATATTAGATATATATATATACATGTATATTATATATATATACATGTATATATTATATATATACATTATATACTATATATATATATATATACATATATACTATATATATAGTTGATGATAATGGTGATTAGTTATGTAATGAGGATGGGGGCCCATAATTTGTTAGCTAAGTTGGTGAACATAAGTATGTTGTAACAATAGTGTATGATACGCAAATAACATCAAAGAACTATATTTAGATGGGGTTATAAACCAACAAACATCTGCCGGGGGGGCACCATCCTGTAATCTTTGCCACTTGGCTCCTCAGAATCAGTGGCAAAGATGAAGGTGTTCACCAACCAAACGTTGGACAATATCATCAAACCTGCAGATATCACATCCAAAGTTGCCAAGAAATTGTTTAAACAAAAAAAACATCAACGAGAAACCCTGGGAACACATCATATCATCAACAAAGATGCACCGAAAAAAATGATAATGAGAACATTCAGTGCACCAACCTACTGTCATCCCTTCTGCTGCTTGGTTGACAAAGAAATTCCCAGTTTCAGGACCCAAAGACTCGCGATGAAACCGCTTGCCTAGTGAATATAAATCTATCTGCAAATATTGTAAATATAAGACATACACATACACACATTTCTTGGTCTTGTTCCCATTTTTGTTCATCAAACCCCAAGTTGGTCCATGAATACCCTCATTTCGTTTGCTTCATACCCCAGGGGTCACCAGGGTTCAGCACCTGGTCAGAACATTCACGCAGTTCTAAGAGGTCGTCGACGATCTTTAGGGCCTGAAATCAGCACTGAACAGCCCCCAGGGATGAATACTTGGGATATTTGGGATGATCATTTTGAGGGACAATCGTTGGGATTCGCCTCCCCTAAATTGACAGCTCGACCTTGAAAAAAAAACCTCAAAAGTATTCTTCCAACACCCCTGGGTCCATGTTCATTGGGGGGGTGGTAGATCTTGATAACCAGCACAAAACGTAGGGATTAGCCAGCAAGAATTGAAATCCAAGCAGCAGGAGTAACCATGTTCAGAGGATTGAACTCAACATCCATTTGACATTTGACATCCATTCTAAAAAAAATGATGGAAAAATCCTCATGAAAATCCTCCATGCTTTTTACCCTCTGCTTTTGATACGCACCACTTCCCTTTTCCGAAATTCCAGCGCCTCCGAGACATGGCCGCAGACCACGTCCAGCTTTCTGACCCGGAAGCTCAATTCGTCGGCCACGCCGGACCTATGCTCGAGTCCATGGCTGACCGAAAAAAGTCTGATGCTTTCGAAAATCATGCCATCCCTACAGCTCCAAACACCTTCTGAGACTGTATTTGGAGTTTTTTGGGATCTAAAGACCTTCTCAGAGGGTATTTGGAGCACTAGGGCATGGTCAAGAACTATCAAACTTAACCATGGTATGGTTGATACTTGTCTTACCATAGTTGGGGTTTTGATACTTTGGTACTTTTCTTACCATCGAAACTATCAAAGCTGCAACTTCGGGGTATACCACTTTTACTGCAAAACCACAGGGTAATTGGTATCCTTAATATGACCTGAGATATATAATCATACAATGGCCAGTCAATTTTTAATCTGTGAGAATAGAAGATCATTTGAATTTGTTTTATGTCTTCCTGGAACTGGCTTCCCAACCTTATGATACTCATTTGTGGAACTTATGGTCATTAGAGGTCGCTTATCAAACATCCACAGGCTGTAGATTCGAAAAATATCACCGTGGTTGATGATATCCCCAATGGTAAACCCAATACTACACCGTCACCAATTTTACTAGAAATTATGTGCTGCTTTATGATTCACCTTACCACATTTATGGGGCTAAAACAATAATAAACCATCCCCCAAATCACCATAAATAGGTGGTATAAAACCATTCCCAAATAGGTGGTTTATGACTTGAGCCTTGGCTTGAGCCTCCATGCTATCTGAAGAACTCGCCCATTGGCTGTTTCTTCCTAAACCATCCCAATAACCCACCAGAACTGGGCACTACTTTAAAAAAAGACACCCATTACTGACCCGAAAATACCCAACCATCAACCCCAATTATAGATGGTTTATTGTTGGATTTACCCAACCTGGTTATTTGTTAACATAGCCATGGAAAGATCTACCATGCTATTAATAGCTAAGCCATCTATCTGGGTTTCGATGGGGCCTGAAAATGCTGGAGATCCCATCCTTTGAACAACGCCACATATTTTCATCTGGAAGCCATGATGATTTCCATATGTCATAGGGAAGCCATGACATCCCCAAATTCTATTTACCCAACCTGGTTATGACTAACAGTTCGCCATGGAAGCCATGGCCCGATTTTCGAAATAGATGGTTTACCCAGCTATAAAATGGTGATGTTCCATGGCTATCTCAAAAATAACCAGATGGTAATTTTACCTTTTTTCCACATGACTTGGATCAGTTTCCCTATTCCAATGATTTACAATGTGGGGCCCCCAAACGTTATGTTTGTTGGTTTAGATTCGCCCCAATAACTATAGTTATTTGCGTACCATAAACCATAGTTATTGGAGTTATGTTCACCAACTTAGCTATCGTTTGGGGGCCCCACTTTGTAGCACCATGGGATTTTGGGCCAAGTCCGACCCATTTTCAAACCCCCCATGGACGGCACTTGAGGGGCACACGTCTGCTGCAACGTTTCCTGCAGCTTTTTAATGGCGATCGGAACCTGGCTGCGGTCCAAAAATAAAAAAGCCGATTTCGATCACGAGGTGAGGTTGAAAAATTGGAAGCCCTAAATCCTCTCTGTTTTTTTCATAAGTTTCCCGAAATTGCCATGAAATTGAGGGAGATACCTAATTTTTTCCACAAAAAAATATTGCGATGTTTACAGCGTGACCCATGACCAGTCGTACTGAAATTTCTGGTGCCCAGTAGGCAGCTTTCGAAAAACCGACCAACTACGGCTGAACCGGATTTCCGGAGGCTCGTTTCCAGAGTGGTTTCCAACCAGGCCTGTTTGTGCTGTTCCCCCAGGAACGCTAAACTGCGGCTCTCACTTTGACCTGGAAAGGCAACAGTAGGTGGATAACCAAGGCAACTTTCATTAAATATACCCTCTGGTAAACTAACATAACTATGGAAAATCACCATTTTTTATGGGAATATCCACTATAAATGGCCATTTTCAATAGCTATGTTAAATTACCAGAGGGTAAATGGTATATCAAGCAAGAATGATTGACCTCAATTTAAGCCCGGAGTACCAGGAAACTAATCTTCAAATATCAACCAGCAATGACTGGGCCTGAAAAGGGAAGAAAGCAACACCAAGGATATACCATGTAGTGGGCGATAAGCAACAAGAACTAGGATATCAGCCAACAGAACTGGGATATCTAACAATTACTGGCTTCAAAAGAGGAGGATGTAGCTGAGACCCAGAACCTCCAGAACCTCCAGGATATCAACCATCAATGGATATGTACAGTAGATATAGTCAGGGTACATCCAACACAAATGGGGATAGCAACCGACAGCTTGCTAAACTAGGGATATCCGGAGAATGATGGAGAATGAGGATGTGATGGTGATGTAACACAAGTTTGGATCAACCTATATTGACTAGCTTTTTTCAAGTGGACCCTTTAGCAAAGGGACACCATGATTTGGGTATGGATC